CTTCAGCCCAGTCCTTAGGAAGACGCTTTGGAAAAGAAAACTAAGGAAACTAAAATCATTCAGCCCACGAAATGTAGTTATTCATGGAAAGCTGAAGATCATCTCCTGTGTGTTATTGTGAGGAGGCTCTTTAATGAGGAGCACTCTCTCACATTAATTCAGGAAGTTGGTTGTGTGTGTTTTAATGCTGTCGTGTTGTTGTCAAGAATGTGGGGGGGGGGGGAGGGGAGGAGAGAGAACCTGGGGAATCCGTGGTTTACTTCATGATGTAGGCTGCTCAGGAGTAAGTGCAACTTAGTGGTCGTTTTTAGGCAATCTAACTGCCATCCCCCAGCTCCCTTCTCCCAGCTGCCACTAGTAACCATGCACGCTTAAAAAAAAATAATTAAAAAAAAAAAAAGCCAAGTCAGTGAGCTGATCTGGTGGACTGCACAACTTCACGCTCCCTAGTGCTGGCACAAGGGGAAGTCAGAGAGCGGGCAAGGCTATGTGTTGAGGGGGTTGGGTTGACTTAGGCAGGGCGCAGAAATGCGCTCTAGACAAATAGCTCCGTTTTCTGGCCTGTAGATTGTTTGCAATGTCCCTAATCCATCCAAAGTATTGAAAATTGCTGTTTTTTTAAACTACTTTGCTGTGGGTTCATTTTGGAGCTTGTAAAATGCTGCGTTAAGGAATGCTGGTGATATTTATCTGCTGGAGAGAGCTGTACCTGCTCTGTGTTCCCACTCCAATACCATCTCAGGAACTGGGGGACCAGAAGTTCATTCCTCTGAGTACTCTTTGTGACATGTGTCACCTTTTTTTTCTTCACCCCCCCTGCAGTTTGTGTATAGTTAAAGTTCGTTCAGGTGGTGAAGCTGTGTTTGTTATAGGTCAAGCGCAGGCGTCTGCCGCGCTTCGGTACCCGGCTGTGTCAGTGCTGCCTCCAGTCCGCTCCCCTGTGCCGGCTGCGGGCTGGGTGAGTTGTCCAGTTCTGCAGGATGAGCTCACACGGTCTGGGATAAACCAGCTGCCGTCTTTCGCTGGTGAGTCTATGGCAGTTAAAGGTGAACTGCTTTTTACAGGTCCTTATGCCGGCTGAGCATTTTCTGCTTTGAATTTTTGGGTGGTCAACATGTAACTCGCCACTTGTGGAAAGCTTTTCTGGTATCTGCCTTCAAAGTCTGTAAACTCTACCTGTTCTTTTACAGGCTGGTGAGAGCGAATATGTCAAAGTCTTCTGAGTAATAGTGATCGTACATGGCACGGAAACCATTTCTAAGCTTAGATTTTTATGGTTTGTTTTTCTAAAATTGGCACATTTTCCAAGATGAGGTCTCAAACTTCCTTAATTTTGAGATGTGCTGGGTTTGTTTTTTTTCTCCAGTAGAAACATGTGTGGCTAAAGACCTGTTAACAACAGTTAGTGTGTGCTGGCATGTTAGTGCAGAGACATCCTGGCACTTTTGGAAAGATGGTGACCAAAGACTGGAATAATTCAAGGAATTTAATGGGAATTATTTTCCTATTAAATTTTAAACAAACAAAAAAAGAATAGCACTAGGGTGTATGTAATAGCAGCACAGCAATAGTTACTGTTTCATGTTTTTGTTAAAACATTAGCATATTTACTTGCCAGCAGGCTGAGTTTATTAGTATTCATGATGTATTTAGATTTTTTTTTAGGACTCTCCATGGTTCTTGTAATAGAATTATCGGCTTATTGACTAAGCAATCATATTTGCCTTTTTATTATGTGTGTAAAAACTGAGCTGTCTTTACCACGTGATTTTTGAAGCAGTGTGCATTTCTTGACAGCTATATTTAGTCTGAAATGCTAATGTATTTTTGACTGGTTTTTAAACTACGCAGTAGTGCAGTCCATCTAAAGTTGGAACAAATTTCTTGAGCTTTTTTACTCTTACTTTTGATAGGAAACACAAATAACCCAACCCCCCTTAACAAATGTAGTGATTCCCCTCCTTTGCAGACTTCATAAAATAAGTAGGAAGCCTGCATTATAATATTTATTTTACCTGCCCACATAATAGAGCAAAAGAAATTTAAACCAAATGCGATGTCATGCTGGGAAATGTAAATCAGTTGCCAGATTCTGATCCTGACCCCGTGGGACGCTACCAGGCCACTCTGCGTGTATC